TCAGGGTCTACCTGGAAGGTGTTCTGGATGTCAACGCCCCGCGGCCAGTCCTTGACCAGGCCTCCCGGTGAATCAGAGCCTGATCAATCAGGCTGTTACTGATGGCCGCACTTTTGTCCGATTCTTTTGATTCTTCTTCTTCTGTTGGGTTTCAGGGCCACTGACAGCATACGCCGTATCGAGCCCGCGATTCTTTTTATTATTTTTTTTAACCAAAAGATACTGTAAAAGTTTTATGGAGATTACCTGGAGAGGGTTTCGGGGGGTCAACGCCCCCGCGGCCCGGTCTGAGACCAGGCCTCGTGGTAGACCAGAGTCGCATCAACCAGGCTGTAACTGCTGGCCGCACGCAAACCAACATACGAACCACGGACCGGCTGATCAGGTACTGACTGTAGGTGTCTTTCCAGCGTCTTCTTAAAGACAGCCAGGGGTTTGCTGGTAATCTCCCTTATGTATGCTGGGAGGTAGTTGAACAGTCTTGGGCCCCGACACTTACTGTGTTGTCTCTCAGTGTACTCGTGGCGACCCTGCTTTTCATTGGGGGAATGTTGCATCTCCTGCAGTCTTTGGCTTTCGTAGGGAGTGATTTTCGTGTGTAGGTTTGGTACTAATCCCTCTAGGATTTTCCAAGTGTATATTATCATGTATCTTTTTCGCCTGCATTCCAGGGAATACAAATCAAGAGAATTCAACCGTTCACAGTAATTTAGGTGCTTTATCGTACTTGTGTGTGCCGCGGAAATTCTCTGTACATTCATTTTCCAGGTCAGCAATTTCACCAGCCTTGAAGGGAGCAGTTAGTGTACAGCAGTATTCCAGCCTAGACAGAACAATTGATTTGAGAGCATCATCATGGGCTTTGCATCTCTAGTTTTGAAGGTTCTCATTATCTATCCTATAATTTTTGTAGCAGATGAGGTAGATACATTGTTGTGGTATTTGGAGATGAGATCCTCTGATATTACCAAAAAATAAAAATAAAATTATTTTTTATATGGCAACATTCAAGTTGTGCACAAAAAATTGGACGAAAAACTTGTGTGTATATATATATATATATATATATATATATATATATATATATACATATATATAATGTGTGTTTATGTATGAATGAGAGTATAGTTATACCAACGCTCTTGTATGGATGGGAGGCATGGGTGATGAATGTTGGAACAAGGAGAAGGCTGGAGGCAGTGGAGATGTCATGTCTGAGGGCAATTTGTGGTGTGAATATAATGCAGAGAATCCGTAGTTTGGAGATAAGGAGGAGGTGTGGGTAGATGAATGGTTCAGAGAACCGACATGTTGATAAATTAGACACATGTGCAACTCTTGGGTATCTTTATTGAGGAAACATTTCGCCACACAGTGGCTTCATCAGTCCATATGTAGGAGAAACTTGAAGAACAGGAGGAGAATGAGGTAATCAGTCCCTCAACCTTGAGTCGATGTGTTCAGTCCATCGATCTTGAATAGAATGTATGGCGAAATGTTTCCTCAATAAAGATACCCAGAGTTGCACATGTGACTAATTTATCGAGGAGGTGTGGGATTACCAAAATTATTATCCAGAGGGCTGAGGAAGTGTTATTGAGATGGTTTGGACATGTAGAGAGGGTGGAACGAAACAGAATGATTTCGAAAGTGTATAAATCTATAGTGGAGGGAAGGCAGGGTAGAGGTCGGCCTAGGAAAGGTTGGGGGGGGGGGGGTAAAGGAGGTTGTGTGCGCGAGGGGCTTGGACTTCCAGCGAGTGTGCATGAGCGTGTTAAATAGGAGCAAATAGAGACAAATGGTTTTTAGGACTTGACGTGCTGTTGGAGTGTAAGCAAGGTAACATTTATGAAGGGATTCAGGGAAACTGGCAGGCCGGACTTGAGTCCTGGAGATGGAAAGTACAGTGCTGACACTCTGAAGGAGGGGTGTTAATGCTGCAGTTTTATAACTGTAGTGAAAGCATGCGTCTGGCAAGACAGTGATGGATTGAATAATGATGGAAGTTTTCTTTGTCAGGCCACCCTGCCTTGGTGGGCAACGGGCGAGGTGTTAATAAAAAATAAAAAAAAATATATGTCGTGCCGGATAGGTAAAAACTTGCGATTTTGGCCTAAATAGCAACCCTCTTCTTTGCGAATAAGGCAAGCGAAATTTGTATATGCAGTAATTTAGCGAAAATCATTCTGCACCTATCGAACAAAAATATTTCACTGTGTTTGTTTATTAAATTATTGTAAACTTATCTCAAATATATTTAGTTGCATTAGGCTAAATTAAATTGCAATTGTTATAAGGTTAGGTAAGTTTTCTAAGGTTCTTTTGGTACAAATTTATTAATTTTTACATTAACATAATTTAAAAAAATATATCTTTAAACGTATAAGAGAAAATTTTAGAAAGGACTTAATTTTAAATGAGTTTTGCTAATTACCAGTTTTATCTATTCGGCACGACATATATTAATAAATATATGCTTCACAGATAATCATCAAATTAATACAAATTTTCTAACCATCCATTTTTGTCTAAACAGTTGCATAATAATGGGAGTTATACATCAAAACAGAAAAAATAATAAATAATGGACGAATTGCTCGTAAATTAATAAATTCAAATAAAATGTATCAGTAATGCGATTTTTTTTCCCGGCAAAATTAGTAATTTCTAATAACTCGACTTGAGAAAATCAAAGAAACAAAATTTAAACACCAAAATATTTTATGAATAATGCGCCATCAGAACAAATAGTTTTAATGGGACCCGCCCTTCCCATCCTCTTCAGATTATGACCTGAGGACTTAATCTCGTCTTGGATGAGTCATGTTTCCTTCCAGTAATCCAATTATTACTAGTTTAAAATATAGATATTTCTCAACTTCGCTTTCAAAAAATTAAATATTTATATTTCGCTCTGTATTCCCCTTAAAATTCAGTTTACGAAGCTAGTTACGTTTAAGATAATGATAATTTTTCTGTTTCTACAAACTCTAATCTCAATTCTGTTATTTAGATGGATGTTGTAGCTTAAATTTCATAGGTTAAGTTAGGTAAAGTTTGTCAGGAAACAAGTGTTTCCTGACGCAGGTGTTAGTCACATGATGACCTGCAGCAGGAGCTTTTGATCGTCTAACTGAGGCCTTCCACTGGGTGACCGATTCACCCCTTTAAAAACTAAGGTTATAAGTAAAACCATTAAATTTCATATTTGTTAGTAAACGCCTCATTACTGGGTAATTTATGTTGCAGAAGACGGCCATAAAACTATTTCTAGGCGGTGAATAATTATTTTTTAAAAAGGCCACGAAGGATCATAAATTTGTCATTTCACAAATTAAATTTGGTTACCCGTTAAAAACTTCACTTGTTATCCCCCAGGGGGGGGGAAA